TGAGAGCAATAATTGTAGGGCTATCAATCACTGATAACACTAAACTGATGAGCGGTAAAAGCTTTTAAAGCGTCACCTATGGTCAATTTTGGGCATGGTAATTTTTTGCGATTTTGCGGGTGCGTGCAATTTTAAAGCATGACATGTTTGGTGTCTATTTACCCGACGTGACCCCGCTTTTTATATTTTACCAAAAATATGGGTAATAAATGGGTGTGGTTACTGGGGGTGTGGTCACTAAAGGGTGTGGCCACTGAGGGGTGTGGTCACTGAGGGGCGCTGTAAAGCTTTCTCGCACAGGGCGCCTAAAGGCCTAAGGCCGGCGCTGGCTGTGCCTCACAGGAGACGGCAGATCTCGGAGAGCGGTGTCTGCCCAGCTGGCCGAGGGACTGGTACATTAAAGAATGCTGCTAAGGATCTATGTGAGGGGAATGAGGTGTCTGCAGGGTGGGGGTCGTGTCGCCATATTATCAGATTTGTTTGCCCGGCTCGACACTGATTGGCATCAAGCCAGCAAAACAGCATGGAGCCAGCTTCCTGGCTCCATGTTTCCTCGCGGAACTGCCGGTCAGAGGAAATCTCCCTCTGACCGTAAGTTCCAGTATCGGGAAAGGTATGGGAGCATTTGGGTGAGTACGAGTACTCGCCCAAATACTTGGCATCGGCACCGATACCGATACTAGTATTGGTGCATCCCTACTTAAAAGTATCTGCTACTGATGGCTTGGTGCCAGATACCACAGCATACCTTTAGAGATCTAGTGGAGTCCATGCCTTGATGGATCAAGGCCGTTTTGGCAGTAAAAGGCAGACCTACTCAATATTAGGCGGGTTGTCATAATGTAATACACTGTATATATATTGCTTATGTCAGCCACGCAGTCCCACCCTATGTTTCCATCGCAAGTTCTTGTGATAGAACACTGGGTTGAGGAGATTGCTCTCTTTTATGGTCTAGTTTGAGGTTGTCCTAGTGGGGGTCAAGAGGGTGGAGCTGACCCAGAGCAGGTTGGCATGAGGAGGAGCCTGGAAAAGAAAATAACGGTAAGTATTTGGGTAAGTATCTGAACACATTAGTGTCCTTGACAGGTTCACTTTGCATGGGGAAAAAATATTTTGCTTGTTTCTGATACAGTAAACTCATGATACTGTTACAATGTATAAACATATTAAGATTGATTTATAAAACATTTAGCAGAACATCTGAACCTGGGTTGGATGACATTTTGGATTTCCCAGAGTGACCTCATATTTGTTTATCTTGGAGAAAATTTTCTGACCATGACCCACTTTCATTTTGGCAAGGCAGCCGTAATGATCTTGGAAACTCGATTTTGTTTTGAACAGCTGAAGAAAAACATGACTCAGATCTGGCCCTTTCCTCCTGCAAAGTGGACCTCCTGCCATCGCCCTGCCAGAACGGAACGTGCGGTCACGCTGTCCTCTATTACACTGCGGTCATAGACTTTGCAGCGGATGGGAACAAAGTCACAAGTATTGCAGCAGATCCCATAGACAGCGCCAACTTCCTGTGGAGCGGCTACGTACCAGATGTGATACAGGTGCTACAACTGAGAATTATAATGGGTTTTATGTGTACTGATAGTATTATATTAGTTCTATGTGAATGTCTGTGTTGTATCAGTATAATATTGCAATGCTGTCATGTGTGTCAATGTATTGTAATGAAATGTTTGCTTAGATTACAGTGAAGGACGTTCCGGGGGCTAACTGCTACTCGTTCACCGATCCACATATCATTACCTTTGATGGCAGGTCAGAAGATATTTAAAGAACTTCATATGTTTTAAAATCATAATTACATACACACGCGTAATCATGCACACAGAAATTGGAGCAACATTTTTGGTTCAAATTGACTCATTGCAACTCATTGGTCATTAATTATGCTCAAGAGAAAAAAACATTTTCATTGTTATATCATTTAAATTCTGGCGCTTTAGGTTTAGGCAAAGGAGGTATTTGGGTTAAGATGTGTAGGGTAACTTTATATGTATTTTACTGTTATTTTAGTTGTAGGTGGACCCCGCTAGAATGAGTAATTTCTTGGCTTCTTCTATCTCATAGATACCTCAACAGTGAGATCTACCTGTTACCCACCTTTGTGTGTTGTATCCTATTATAGTCTTCATAATATAAAGTACATAAAACAGATATGATGGGAACCCCTCATAATGGGCACAGCAGGTGTGCAGACCAAGGAACGCAGGGCAGGGATGGTGGGAGCCCTTTATAATGGACACAGCAGGTGTGCAGACCCGGGAACTCAGCACAGGCAGGGCCGTCTTTAACACAGGGCAAATGGGGCAGCTGCCCAGGGCCCAGTCATTGTTGTGGGGCCCAAAGCAGCTGCCCCTTGAGCAGGTCCTCTGCTGCAAAACACCTACCACTGGCCCTGCATCTCAGCACTGACAGCAGAGCGCAGCATGATCGCAAAGCAGAGCGGGTGACGCAGAGAGAAGAGCTGGGTGGATGCCCTCCGTGCTGCGTGGATGTGTGTGCTCTGCTATGACCTGGAGGGATTGAAAAATGCACCTTCACCTGTGTACACAAAAATCCTTGCACCGGCCCTGCCTTTGAGCCCGCAAAAAATACACTCGCTCCACTCTTCTGTTTACTGTGCGATCGATATTGCATAGTGTTGCTCCGGCCCTGTCGTATAGGCATATGCATGGGCAAAATTGCATGGCGCAGGCAGGTAGGGGGTGTTTTGTGGGGGGCGCGTTGATTAGGGGGTCAGGATGGGTAGGAGTGGGGGGCCCAAGAAAATGTTTGCCCAGGGTCCAATCAGTATTAAAGATGGCCCTGAGCACAGGGATGGTGGTAGCCACTCATAATGGGCACAGCAGGTGTGCAGACCCGGGAACTCAGCACGGACCACACCAATAGAGTCACCAAGAGACAGAAATACGTTTCAGATTGTTTATCTTTTGGGTGAGGTGACCCTTTAAGCTTAGGTTTAGGGGTCAGGACAGTAAAGTGAACCTGTGCCCGGTCCATGCACACTAAATTATTTACATATTCTGAACAAGCACTTTAAAACAGGCCCCTATTCACCTCTGCATCTATAAGCATTGTGGAGAAATACATTTTCACATTTCACAACAATAGGCGTTGTGTTTTTCTATGATAACAGAATCTTGGCAGCCTGGCACCCATTGAATGTAAACACGCAGCAGGTGTTTCTAAGCTGTTAGAATCCAACTGAAACCTAACTCTTTAACCGGAGTTACTGCAGAGGTTTCTAGGGGCCCCTTGAGTTTATTTGATGTGTCTGCATAATTAGGGGGCTATTTTCACTTTGCAGAACCAGTAGCATGACATCAATTATATCTATAGCTGTCTATAAGGGTAGCATTCTTTCCACTGGCCACAAATGCAAGGGGCATTCTTCCCACTGGCCACCAATGTAGGGAGCATTCTTCCTATTGACTACTACTGTGGGGGGGGGGGGGGGGGGGTGGTTGTGCATTTTTCCCATTGACCATAATGTAATGAAGACTTTTTCCCTCTAGCCTCCAATGAAATGGTGCTCTCATTACCCATATAAGGGGGAACGTCTCAGTGACTTTAATGTAAGTGATCTCTTCACTGAATACCAGTATAAGGAGACGTTTCACCACTGACCACCAATATAAGGGAGCTTGTCTGTGTTTATTTTTTGGATATTATTATTCTTATATATGTTTTTTATTTTGTGATTGTTGCTGTAAATTATTTTATCATAAAGTCTTAAAAATGATCTACTTCTGGTGTCAAATACTCTAGCTATGCCGCATCATTTATACTTTCATTATTTTTATATCTATAACTCATTAATGTACCAAAAGCTGTAAATATAATTTTTAACAGAAGTTTCCCTGAGACCTGGGAAACAATTAATGGTTCCTCTGGGTAAAAGGGTTGAGTAAGGCTTATTTTGGGTCTTTGTTGAGATCTTTGATAATGAATAACCTCACATTAAAATCAGCTAGAGAGGGGGGGGGGGGGGGTTAAATGTGATATATCACCTTTTAGAATTCAGATGTTTATCATTTTGTTATGAACCTTCTTAGCATCGATCTTGATGAACTAAAACTATTGCACCAGTGTTGTTGCTCCTAAAACATATATATTCAGTACATATATAATGTGTTATTATTATTACACAGGATTTAAATAGCGCCAACAGTTGAGCTATTATTATTATTATTATGTGATAAAATATAATTCTATCAATCTATATATATTATATATCTTATTTTTCTTGAAAAAAACTCCAAAAATGTTTCTTAAATAAAATCTTTTGCAGGTATTATGACAACTTTAAATCCGGAACCTTTATCCTGTATAAGAGCACCTCCCGTGACTTTGAAGTGCACGTGCGGCAGTGGGACTGCGGGAGTGTTGACCACCCAGCGTCCTGCAATTGTGGCTTTGTAGCCAAGGAAGGGGGTGACACCATCACCTTTGATATGTGTAGCGGGCAGCTTCATGAGTCCCAACCGCATCTCTCCGTAAAGAGCCAGGATTCGACAGAGACCAATTTTCGGATTACAGAGTCTTACCTTGGAAGGAAGATCACGGTAGGGGTCGTGCTGGTTCTGCTTTATAGACATCAAAATATATTTCACCGTCCCCAGCAGTCTCTGCAACCCTTCCAGCATGCTGTGATGGGAAGTGGGTTATAGTCACAGGGAATGTGCCACAAAAGTAAGACTTGGGCATTAAGTAGTTCACCACTTAGATAAAGTTAAAGCCAAACTTCGGGCTCTAAGCTCTGGGCTCCACTCCATCAGAGCCACCGCTCCAAGCTCACTCCCATGATGGACTATAATTTCAATACAAATTAGTAAACTAAACATGAGATTGTAGTCCATCACAGGAGTGAGCTTGGAGTAATGGCTACTTTACAATGCACACAGGGACCATGGGGAACAAAAGTAGCCCCCCTCCAGAGGGAAGGACAGTGCCAGCACCAATTCAGAGATGATTTGAGGATCTACAGCCGAGTGATACACAAATAAGATACATTTTTGTTCATAAATGTAGTTAAGGGACTTGAATGCATTTTAAAGATTTCAGTCCTGGGTTTAGTGTCACTTTAAGACTGGAAGAATAGAAATACAAATTATTCGGTAGGTACAACAGCCACCCTAAATGTATTTAGCTGTTTGCCTGGAGTTCAGTTTTAAGATGGTCCTTACACCAAGGACCTTCGTGCTGCAAGATGGCAAATCTAACCACTGCACCAAAACAATGCTGATATGGTTGCTATAAGAAAATGCAAATTACTGTAACGTTCACTCCAACATGTTCTTCAAAGCAGAGTAACCTTTTTTTTTCTCCTGTCCCCGTTAATATGCACATATCCCTTGAAAGACATGGAATACTAAAGTGATGTATCACTCTCGGCTGGGGGGGGGGGATCGTAACACTTTGAAATGTGATTCATGACGTCCCCCCTTAAAGGGGTTAATTATTTTGCCTGTGGGAAAGTTTAAATGTTTTAGCCAGAAAACAGATGTGTTCAGGATGTCACAGTGCACTCGCTGGAGGCTCTTCAAGAGGGGTCACAGCTATATCGAGTCCTGAACAACATACAGGCTTATACAAAAATACAAATAGCAACCAATCAGATTGGTGTCTTGGGTTGCCGTACTTTGCATTGCCCCTCTGAACGAGCCTAAAGCTCATACGCTGGTAGAACGTCATTCCTGTTTCAGAACTTTAATTTGATTCTCTAGGAATTAGTGGGGTCTGATCGATGTTCTGAAAATTGAAATGAAAGGAATGATTTTTTTTGTGGGTTTTTTATCTGAACGATAAAATTGTAACCGTGAATGTGATTTTTGTTGGGTAAATAATGGTACATATTGTAATGCACGTTTGCTAGGCACAAAAGAAACTTGTTTCATACATCTGGGATTCCATTCAAGAAGCCAGTCTGGATTAAATTTTAGGGGCTTTCGAACGCAATTAGTTGAATGCTTTGATGAAATTCTAATAGTGTATGGCCAGCCAGGGCCGGTGCTGCCACTAGAGAAACTAGGCAGACTAGTGCGGAGC